CAATCCAGAATAAAGAACAAAAATTAAATTGCCAAATAATAGCTCAAAATAGAAAACTCTGTAAACTTACAATGGATTCCCCTTTTTTTGTCCCTGCCATTTTAAGCTGTTTAGAAACGATTTGTTTCCTGCTTTGAATGGAGTTAATTTTATCACAGCTGTTTATTTTTGTTTTAACAGCTTTAGTTTACACAGCCCTTTATCATCCCTAACTATCTTTCTGATTTAGAATCTTGGTTTGATGCCAGCACAACTCTGAGAGGCCATTGGTGAATTAAGTCTGATATTGTGGTCTCTTTTTAATCCCTCTTTGAGGTAATCTGTTTTGGTACATTTCAGAATGTTGCTCTCAAAAGACCTGCAACTGCTATAAGCAGGAGTGTGGTGTGTTTGAAATGTCTGGAGAAAATGAATCTCTCTTATATACCCATAGAGGAGAAAATGTGTGTAAAGTGCGAAATTCCTCCAGACAGTGTTGAGAGAATTTAATTTTCATGAATACTAAATTAGCTTGCATTTGTAAGGAGCATGAATCAACAAAGAATCAGAGCTCTGAGCATTTTTAAATAGCTGTATGTCAGTAGTCCCTTATCTTAGCCCAGCCAAAAGCTGGGAACAGTTGGGCCCTGGGAATTTTAACTTCTTGCTGGTGATGCTGCCCTTGTTCAGAACTTGCTAGAAAAGTGCACCCAATACTTAGATTTGAGCTCTACCTTGTGGTGCTATAGATGATTCAGCATCAGTAAATCTAGGTGAAAGAACAGTGTTTTTGCTTACAGAGATAGAAAAGGGGAGTGATATCCCCAAAAGACTTATGTCCTGAGAAATATTAAAGATCTGAAAAAATTTCCTGCTATTAAGCCTGATGTGATAGTAGGCACATTAGTGAGCACCTTATCGATGTCAGCTCTCCAAATGCTGACAGAGAGGTGACAGATTCTAGAGAAGTTCCTGTTAAAAAAAAAAAAAGGTAACAAAAAATAGTGAGAGGCCTGGCAACTGTAGCTTTTATCCTATACTGGCTGTATTTGAAGTATTTAATAACTGGGCTTTAAAGAGAAGCAAGCTCAGGTTTTCTGAGGGTAGCAGTTTGCTGAGCTGCTGGCTTACCTTGGTGCTCAAGTCCATCATTGTTGTAGACCACAGCTGTTTCAGGCTGTGTAGCTGTGCTGTTCAGCACACTGTGACAGCTGAAATGGTCTCAGCTATTAATGTTCATTTGGCAACCTGACTTCCCTGCTAGCTGTAGCTCTTCATGAAGAAAATTTCATCTTTAAAATTCATAATGACAGTCTGTCACTCAGGTTCCTGCTTAGATCCCAGCTCTATCCATGGGCTACATTTGTCTTTTGGAGAAACTGTCCATCTAGATATATTCTCCTACTAAGCTGTTTGCAGTAGTGTCATAGAAGTCCATGAAAAGCTAAACAAAATACGTGTGATTGGAAGAGTGACATTCTTCTGTTCTTAAGAGGAGAGATCACCTGAGCCATCAGTCATCCCTTCCTTCCATAGGTAGGGCTGGGGAGGCCAGTGCAGCTGCACTTGGCAGGATTGAACTCAGAGTATTGATGACACATACATGCTGAGATCTCTCTCTCTCCCCCCCTCTCTCTTTTATTCTCCCTTTCTCTCTCTTTTTCTTTATATATATCAGGGAACAACCCAATGAAAAAGAATATATGAGGAGACAATTTTTCAGGCAAGGGTGGACATAGTGTTACAAATCCTTACCTGAAAGTTCTTTATCTGTACAAATCAGAGTTGTATATCTCATGCTCCTCAGGAGGAAGGTAAGAGAGTCTCCTTAGCATGTCTTTAATAGTAAGAGCATGTTAGGCTATTTTCTGCAGGACTGTTTTGTACTTAAACACTGCATTATTCTTTGTTAATGTCATTGCAGATCTTTATCTGATTTGTTCTCAGTTTCCACTGCATATAGTTCTCCTCTTCTTTCACCTTTGTCTCTAGACCTCAGCCGTGTTGGGATAACAGCGAGAGCAGACTAGTTCTTGTAAAAACCAGGGCTTTTATTCTTACTGATTTATTTGTTTAATTACAGAGTCAGTTTCTGTCAGTCAAAAAATAATAAATCAGGTCATTTTCTCAGTTGATCAGGAAGAACTCTTTTAACTCTGAAGGAGCTTTGTGTCTGACCACTCAAATGCAGTTTAGTTGGGACAGGCCTTGCTTCAATCCGTTCTGTCCCCATTAAAAAAAAAAAAGAAACAAAAAAAGAAGAAAAAGAAATGCTGTGTTGCTTTCATTAGGAGGACTGTATACTGAGACAGAGCTCTGTGGCAGCATAGAGAATGAAATGGCTCTTGGATTGTCATCAAGCACAGATGGGTGATGCTTGGGAAATCTGTTTTAAGCCTAAGGTGAGGCTTCTGATACAAGGGTGTGATGTCTCATCACAGAAGAATGGTCATAAAAGCTGAAGATGCCATAATGAAGAACAAGTGATGGCCCAGAAAGAAACAAAAGCTTTATTCTTATTAGAGCCCCTTGAGGTTTTTGATCTTTCTTTCATGCAGACTTCAAAGATCTGGAAGTCCATGTGAGACCTGTTGAGTAATTCTCATAACTACTTCCATATTTTAATTCCATCCACTGACCAAGTTCCAAATCCTCTTCTCCCACAATTAGGGATGCAAAAAACCTGTTATAATTACCTGTTTTAAAGATAGCTTTTATGTTCATTTCAGCAGTGGCTAAGAGCAGTCATGGATTCTGTCAGTTACTTGTGGAGGGAGGTCTTTGCACTTCTCCTTCCCTCTGTCACAGAGTAGTTAAAGGAGATTTTGGGAAGGATGGCAGAAGGAACCTTTGCTGGAGCGTAATTTTGCTATCCCATATCAAGATTTTTTGTTCAGCAAAAAGATGATGATCACTGCAATTTGAGTTTTTTGAGCTGTGGATGTTTTATACTCAGAAAAAATTATTTGGAACTCAGTATAGTCAGTTGCTGACCATTCCCTTTGCATTTAAAAGTGGTAAATAAAGTTAGTTCTGGCCTCTCTCTCAGCCAGGGCCCTAGTCACTGATACTTTGCAAAGCTGGGGAGGGTCCAGCTAGTAGAATGTACAACTTCTACCTAAGTCACAGCAAGGTGAGGGAATAAGAAAAGGGCAGTGACTTTGCCATATTGCCCAAAGAGATTTATACTTCTCCAGCTTAATTAACCCTTGCATCTCTGAGTGCTTTTGCTGGAAACATTGTAGAACTACTCTGCTTGGATGACCACTCCTCTTCTGCCAACCACAGCACAGAGCAGGATCTCAGTGAATGCTTGAATTCCCTGGTTACTGCTTTCCTGAGGTCTGGAGTAGAAGTAGTGCACAGAATTTGCAGGCATACAACCATTCTAACTACCATAATAAACGAGTGACACCACATTTAAAGTTTTCCCCGATCCCCTTCTTCAAAAAAATAAAGATCCAAGTAAAGATATCAAGACTTTTGCATATTTAAGAAAATAATTGTAATAGAATTATTTAATATTCATTTAAATTCCAATCCTGCACAGCTTATGGAACAAATAACTTGTTCACTGCTATCTAAATTGAATGTCTGAAGAAATAGAAGTGTTACTGATGTTCAACAGGTAGATGGCAGCCACTTAGGAGGCCAGAGGGCCAAAACATTTTGCTTAGTCTTTAGTCCTTCTGTTTCTTTCTAATTGAGAACTTTCTCTGATTCTGCCTTTATGCTCCTTTCATGTTTTGGATACAAAAAATCTCAGGGCGGCATGTGATGACTTTTCTGCTTTTAGCTAAAAGTCTTGATTCCTGATTTCATTTTCTAGCAGCACGCTGGTGTTGAAACCCATTTAACAGATGAGCCTCTTGTGTCTTGGATCATGAAGTTGTACCTGTAGGCCTTAGGACTTGCACCGGTTTCTGTAGTTCATCTATACTGGCAGCCTTTTATGATGAAAATCTATTGTGATCTCTTTGTGGACCTTGATATAAAAATAATTAAGAAGATAAGCTTGAAATTCTTCTTTCTTTGCCTTGTAAGATCCACACCTGTGACACCGTGAATGGTTTTGAGGGGAATGTGAGGATTTGAGTTTCTTATTATTAGGTAGAATTAGTGCTGTAGTAGCAGCAATTTCTGTGGTTTTCCTGGAAACATAGTTAAGTCAATCTGTAGTGTAGGGAGGCAGATTTAAATGGTCTAGGGGAGGAAACTTCAGTGGGTCACTTTGGCTGCCAGTGGCTGTTTGGCCTGTTGCTGCACTTGTCTGTAAAGCAGCTGAGACATCACCTTATTGCATCTGTGGCCCCTGCTATACAAGCAGCAGATATTTTCAGATAAGTGCAGATAAATTTTCCTGTTCACTGGGAGAAGTAATGCAAATCAGAATGTCAGTTTTGATTTGTCATATTCCTAGAGGATAGTGTGCATGGGTGCTTTTCTTATGAGGCTGTTTATGCTGCAGATAGCTTTAATTTTCAGCAGGGAAAGTATTATGCAGCTTATTTGATTGCAAATTTGTTTGAACAGCTTTCAGCTTTATATTTCCCAGTTAGGTAATGTAGCTTTAGATACTAATTGCATAATTGGCTTGAGTCACACAGATTTAAGGTACAATGCGCCTGGTCTGACTGTTTGTTAGCTTTAAGTGGCTTTATACAATAAGTGCCCTACAACTGAATTTAACTCTTTTGTTGAGTTCTCTTCCAAATAATTTTTGTCTGAAGAAGGATTTTCGTGGTACTCAAGGAATGACCATCCCTGTTCCTGAAGTTCTGATGCTGGAGTATGCATGTTTTGTGGATTGGTGTAATTTCTAGCTGGTACACCAATATGATAAAATAAAGTAATTTTTAAAACTCAAAAGTGAGTGCATGGCACAGAGAGCATCCTCTCTACATGTTTCTTGTCGTTTCACTTTCCTCTAGAGGATAGTGGGAGGGATCATTTTCCAGTCACAATTTGATAACAGTGAGCTTCATACTTAAGATTCTTTCTTTCATCCCTCCATTTCACAGGCCTGAAAGATGCTACAGGCTCTGAGAGTGATGGTGGTGACTCTTGCAGTACAAAATCGGAAGGAGCCAACGGAGGCACGACAATCCAACCCAAGAAGGTCAAAGGTGTTGGCTTTGGAGATATCTTCAAAGACAAACCCATAAAGCTACGACCAAGGTCAATAGAAGTTGAAAATGACTTTCTCCCAGTAGATAAGGTACGTGGCATTTCTTAATTCTCTCTTGGTGTTGGTTTAAAGAAGTTTTCATGTGAAAGTTCTAAATTCTGTCACTGGCCAAAACTTGAAGCTTTATGGTCATTATTTCCTAATCTTTCTGTAGAGAAGATTCTGCCTTTTTTTTTTCTTTTGCTTCACAACAGAAAGTGAATTCCAGTTAGGTTAGCTGCCTGCTAAAATGAAAAATAAAATAACAAATTAATCAATCTAAGCTATGTTCTTTAGGGAAACAAACAAAAAAGTGCATGGTTTCCTAATGAATTAACAACTAAAGAAAAATCCATTAAATTCTTTCTTTAAGTGAACAGTTAGATTTGAATAGAGTTACTAATATGCTGAGAAGTGTTAGGAGGCTTCCACAGTCTCGAGTTTGCTATGGGCATAGTTTCATGATGCATTTTATTTGCCTCCATGGTGATTTTAAGAAGCTCCTAGGCAGCTGCTCTTGGTCCCTGATGTGGCAACTTCTCACTTCTGAGTCATTGTCTATAGAACCAGGCACTACAGGAAATAGATTTTTTGGCCTGCAAGCTTTGGGGTTTTTTTCAGCCTAGATCGTTTCAGTGATCTGATTTATAGCTCAGCACCTACCCCCATATGCACCCTGAGTTACAGGAGAAGGGAAGGTCCTGCAGGGCCGTGGTGGAAACTGTTAAGTTAATTATGCTGAGGGAGATTTGGTTAATATTTTGCAGGAGACCATTTTTCAGTCTCTGTAAGGAGGGTAGTGAAGAGCTGGGATAATAATCTAAATAAAGGGAAAACCTAGACTGTGTTACTCCTTGACCACTGTTGACTTTTTCAAAACTTCCATGGTACCCTGCTTGCCTTCTCTTTCTAGGTGCAAACTTCTGGTTTTGGCTTTGTTCGTGTGCAGGGAACAGCTGAGCTGTATTCCAATGGCACCTCATCAAAGTCCCCCTGAAATATAAGATAAGGACAGGTCAGGCCTCGTGGTGTTCACTGAGTAGTAGCTAATGAACCATCCTCCTGCCAGATTCAGGGAATGGGGTAGAGAGCAGCGAAGTCAGCTTTTCATGGAGCCACGAGAGTGTCTCTCTGCAGCATGTTTATTTGTGACCCTGACAACATCACAGTGTTTAAGGTGCACTTGGGCTTTATGAAAACTTGCAAGGGAACTGAAAAAGGATTTTTACTAGAACATGAACTTACTTAATAAAAGGGTTCTTCTTATTGTTTTTTAACCCATTTTGGAGGACATTTGGTTTTGTAATTTGATGGCTGCTTGTGATATTTTAGTTACGACAACAAGTATTTCCTTACAAATCCTGTGTAAGCAGAATTACTTTGTATATAGGAAGCAACAGGCAGACTTAAATTCATGCATGGCTGTACTTAAGCCTGTGTTTTCTCCTTGGGACATTAAAAAGTCTTGTAGCTTCAGCAAATATGTATTTTAGTAATGCAGTTCTACAAAAGGTGAGCTGTTTTAAATTATTAATTTTCTGCATGTAGGTATGTAAACAAAATATGCAGTGCAGGAAGAAACTCACCTAAAATAAACATACGATTACAGTTTACATTATAATAGTATTTATAATGGTGTGTAACATAGACATGCACTTGTAAGGCACTGACCATAATTCAAGTGTTGCACAAAATTCAGTTCTTCTAAGTCTGATATAGGGAGATTAGAATTTACAAATGATAACGCCCTGTTAATGTCACATGAAGGATTTCTTTTGTTGCAGTTTACTATAATTGTAGTTATCTCTACAGTAGTGATTTTAAGTGGGAACTGACTAAAATAAATTCCATATCCCTTGAACTCTGGAGTCCTTTGTTTTAATATGTTCACAAAGTGCTTGTGAAGTCGCTTTCATTTCTTGAAGGAAAGTCTTACTCCACTTTATAATAATGAGAAGTCTTACCTTTGTTTTTCACAAACAACAAATAGGTTTGTTACCCAGCAGAAAAGTGAATATGGCATTTTCAGGAAACAGAAAAAAAATTTCATCCTGCCCACAGAACTTCCTTCCTATGTCTTCAGATTTCTCCTAAAGTTGGCATGGTTAGCAGAAAATAATGGCATCATTCTGTGAACACAATCCATTATTTGTGTTTTAAATGTGTAGGTAACTAAAACCAACACTTCTTTGCTGTTGTTGCTTTCGTCCTGTCTTAGGTTTAGGTTAACCTTTGAGAGGTGCCATTCAGAGTCTTCAGCACTGTGGTCTTTGCCTAGTAACAGCACCAAAACATGAATCAGTGACACAACATTCTGTTACCACTGCAGACCATTAACCTCCCCAAATACTTGTCTCCTGGCTGCAAGAAATTTCTCCCTTGTCATTGCCATGTGCTTTGCCATTTGATGCTGTCTGTGGGGGAATCCTGCATTAAATTTGCCATTCCATGCAAGGTCATATTTAGGTTGAGAGCTCTGCATACTAGTTCAAAAGTGTTGCAAAGATCCTGCAGAGTGCCAAGTCGATACATATTTTTCTCTAGCAATGTAGTTTTTAAAGGGATCTTTGCCCTGGTATGTGTCTTGCTCCTTTACAAGTAGCCTCAGTTTTTCAATAACTTGTAATCTTTTGAAGAAGTAGAAACAATGCTTTTCTCAATTCCTTTTTTTAAAGTGCTTTCTGAAGTTTGGAGACCCTAAAACTTTCTATTGCTTCCTCTTGATACAGTTATTGATGAAATATTACTGTAATGATACTGCTACATTTTTGATTTGAAATTTCCTAACAATTGCTTTTTAAATAACATCAGTAAATTACTGTGAGGATTTTATAATGTGGAATTTTTTATAACATGATAATTCCTATGGAAAATGTCAGTCCCATTTACATAAGAATCAACGGGGTCTTATTTTGTTGGTGTTATCACTTCATATTCTAATATGTTTTCGATTTTATGAATCACAAATTTAGATCATATTTCACACAGAATTAACAGGATGCTAAGAAGGCTTTTACACAAATATTGGCAGGAATATGAGGGCAGAAAGGTTTGCTGCCAGTAGAACAGAAGCAGATGCCACTAGGCTCTCCCGTAAATCATGGGGCAGTTTGATGTAGTTCAAGTGTTTGCCCACTGGTAACAATGTAGGATATAGTGGCCCTTGTCTTTTAAGGTGATCAACAGACTCTCAATAAAAGGCAAAACTGAGGAATTGCATGAAACCTCATTGGTTTTATTGGTGTGCAGAATTAATTGCTTAGCTGTTCTTTGTTCTAAAAATCACAGAAGCAGATTATCCTAGGGAAATTAGTGATGCATTTGTGGGAGTTTAATTTGAGCAGTGCCATCAGACCTCTGCTATTTTAGAAAAATAGAAGAATCAAATACTTATGCTCTGTAGTCCATTTTATTGAGTGTTTGTGCTGATGAGTTGATTGCTGGCCATGTATAACTAGAATCAGATTCCTGAGGCATGGCTCTGTCAGATTTCCACTAATGATAGATGTAAGTGAACTGTTTTACAGTGCTGTGTGTGATTGAAGACATAGCTTGCCTACAGATGAATTTTTAGAAGAAATACAATATGCATATAGATATGTTGTGTCTCCTGGGAAAATTCAGTGTAACACTCTTAAAGTAGTACAAGGTTTATGGTCAAATAGAAATGCCTGTTTCACGTGTTTTCCTTCTGCTTGTGCAGCTTCAAGACATTTAAACAAGTGCTTATGCTTATTTATTTTTTTCCATTTTCATTTCTTAGTAGCTTATCTAAAGCGTTTCTGGGTTGGACTTCCTTGCAATATGATCTGTATGGGCTTCCATTGTTCTAACAAGCTATCACATTTTCCTCTCCTGTATCTAAGAATAAACCTCTACAAGTACAGGAAGATTAATTCAACCAATACATTCCATAGTGTGAATTAACTGTATTGGATTGAGTTGTGAGTTGAGGCTTCAGACTGGAAATGCTAAAGGTCACAATAGGTGAATATAGAATAAAAAGTCTTAAAGAGCTATTTTTATCTTTCTGAAAACTGCCCCTACTTCAGAAGAGACTGTTGAAAGTCTTTTTTGCATTTTCCATTTGAGATGTGTTTGTAATGTTTTTCAGTCAAGACTTCCATAGTTGGCTAGCAGAGGTGAATTTGGGCAGAGCTAAATTTCATGAACAGCCTTTGATGAGGTCACAGTACTGTTTGCCAAAACCTAGTGTAAATTATATACTTAGCTATCAAACTGGGGAATATTGCAGCCACTGTAATGATTTAATATAAAGGGGAGGCAGTTATGCCTTTAGATTCAGCAGCTTGTAAGATCTAGTTAACTGGTGTTTAGGGATCCTCACTGCAAAACACTGAATTTATACAGAAATTTTTTTTTTGTGTATATTCAGTATGTTTGGAAGAGGAGAAATGGAGAAGAAATAATGGAAGTAGACACAAGGGCTATAAGGGCTAGAAGCTCCTGTCAATTATTAAGTCTACCTGTCCTTTGTAATAAGATAGAAATTTGTAAACTCTTGAGACTGAGTGCCTGCAAGGTCTGAGTTTCTATTTTTAGCTGGCGAGCTGGGGACCCAGGAACTGCAGTGAACGCATTGCACTGACAGTCTGTCTTTGCCACACCTGTTCTGTCGGTTCCTGCCTGGTTCCTTTTAGAAAACATTTTTACCTCTTAATTTTCATTGGTTTAAAGAGAATTCTTTGAGAGACGCAAGCTGGAGGCTCCTCCTGGTGTTTCTAAACTGGCTGACGATGTGCCTGAGCTCTGCCAGCCCTGACCAGCAGCACCCATGGTGTGTGGCCAGCCCTGGTTCTGTGTGCACTTGCCTCTCACTGCTACCTCCTTTGCCTCTCCGATGCCTTTGGAGGTGCTTGCTCCCCTTGCAGAAATGTTGAAGCCAGTTTTCAAAATCCTGAGATAACGAAAAAATGTATTGCAAGCAAAGCCACCTGGTACTGACTATGAATGCTATTAAAGACACCTGCTGAGGCAGAGCATGTGATGGGAGCACTGAGTGTGTGTAGTGCTTTGCACTTGAAAGCACA